AACCATGAAAACATCTCTCGTTAAAACCTTTTGTATAGAAAAACCCAATGGGACAAAACCACACAAAGAAAAAAGAGTAGATGCTTCATGGCTTAAGGAGATCATGATCTATCAAGGTCTATGAGTCCGAATCTCGGATGAATGAACTCACAGACTTTACTACTTGCTCCTTTGGTAAAGATATCAGCCAACTGGTCTTCACTTCTAGTGTAGCAAGGTAGGATAATCTTCTACTCCACGGCTTCTCTCACTTTGTGGCAATCCACTTCAGTATGCTTTGTCCTTTCATGAAACACTGAGTTTGAAGCAATATGAATGGCTGCCTGGTTATCACAATGCATGGTAATTGGTGTTGATGTTTCTATGCCTAAGTCTCTTAGCAAGTTTTTGATCCAAATGAGCTCACTAGTCAATTTCCTCATTGCTCTATACTCTGCCTCAGCACTTGAACATGATACCACCTTTTGCTTCTTGTTTTTCCATGTAACTAGATTGCCTCCAATGAAGGTGCAATAACCTGTAGTAGACCTCCTATCCACTCTATCACCAGCCCAATCTGCATCACAATATCCCACAATCTCTGTGCTCTTGTTGCATCCCATCCAAACACCTTGTCCCGGGGCCTCCCTTAGGTATCTCATAATCCTTTCCACCATATTCCAATGGTGAACTTTAGGTGCTTGCATATGTTGGCTGACTTGGTTCACAGCAAAACAGATATCTGGTCTTGTAATGGTAAGGTAAAGCAGCTTCCCAACCATCCTCCTATAGAGTTTGAAGTCTCCAAATGGTTTATCTTCAAACTCCCCCTCACGCAAGACTTTGTAGCCTTCTTCTATTGGTGTTTTAGTTACTCTTGCTCCAAGTTTTCCTGCCTCATTTAAAAGATCAAGTGTGTACTTTTTTTGAGATAAGAAAAGTCCCTCTTTAGAGCGGCATATTTCTATCCCTAGAAAGTATTTTAGCTCACCCAAATCTTTAATATCAAAGGTAGACTTAAGAAAAGCTTTAGTAGAGATGATACCTTCCTTGTCACTTCCTGTGATGATAATATCATCCACATAGATCAGTATCACAATAATTCCTTGCTTGCTTGTGAGGGTGAAAAGGGTATGATCAGCTTCTGATTTTACAAACCTCTTCCATTAAGAGTTGTGCTCAGTTTGTGATACCAGACTCTTGGTGACTGTTTCAATCCATAGATTGCTTTCTTCAATCTTAGTACATTTCCTGGCTTGACCATATCTTCCATACCCGGAGGTGGCTTCATGTAAACCTCATCTTCAAGCTCTCCTTGAAGAAAAGTATTCTTGACATCCATCTTCCATAAATCCCATTCCAAGTTCACAACTAAAGAGAGTAGAATCCTTATAGTATGCAGCTTAGCCACTGGTGCAAAGGTATCTAGGTAGTCTTCTCCGTAGACCTGAGTGTACCTTCTTGCAACAGACTTGTCTTCTTCCTTTCTGGTTTTCCATTAGCAAGATATTTGATGGTGAAGAGAAGCATGCTGGTCACAACTTTCTTGCCTTTAGGTAGTTCGGTTTCATACCAAGTACCATTTCGGATCATGGCACCAACCTCATCTCCAACTGACTCTCTCCACTCTTCATGTTCCATGGCTGCTTCATAAGTCTTTGGGACGTACTCTTGATCTAGATTGCTGATGAAGGCTACATGCTCTTGAGGAAAACTCGCAAAAGAACATGTTGCTTGGACAGGATGAGCCACCGCATTGTTGTTGAAGTACACTTTGGTATCAACCCACTGAGATGGTTTCTTCACTCTTGTACTTCTTCTCAATGGTTGAATTTGTTGCCCTTCTAAGTCTACCTCTTCCTGCCCTTGGACTTCATTAACCTGGTCTTCAAAAGACTGGTCAATTTCAGGTTCATCTTGATCATGCGTGCTTGTTGAATCATCTATTTCTTGTGGCTGTAATTCAGGTTCATTGCCCCCTTCAAGATCAAGATGGCCAGTTTCAACAACCGATGTTGCTTCTTCATTGTTTTCAGCAGATGCCGGTGAGGAAGAATCCCTTGGCACTTCTCTACTTTGAGGCTGACTGATGCCAAGATTCTCCAGAATAGTTCTCAAGTTGTTTGCCCTATCGGAGGGTCCTTGTGAGAGATCTTGGAGACTTTCCCAACTCTTCTCCTTATAGTACCCTTCAGATTCCACAAACTTAACATCCCTTGAGACCATAACTCTTCTTGCATCAGGAATGTAGCACTTATAACCTTTATGCGTGTGGGAGTATCCAATAAATATGCCCTTGACACTCTTGGCTTCTAGCTTGTTTCTCATTTCTCCTGGTGTCAAGACATAACAAACACACCCAGACACACGTAGATGATCAATTGGAGGTTTGATTTTGTTTAATACCTGAAAGAGAGAGAAATCTTGGAGAACTTTGGTGGGGATTCTATTTATCAGATAGCAAGCTGATACCACCGCATCTCCCCAAAATCTCTTAGGAACATTGGTGTGAAACATCATGCTCCTTGCAACTTCCATAAGATGGCGATTCTTCCTTTCAGCTACTCCATTTTGTTGGGGTGTGTAAGGACAGCTTGTTTGATGGATAATCCCATGTTCTGTTAAGTGATGCTTGAAAGCATTGCTTGTATATTCTCCCCCATTATCAGACCTGAAAATTTTGATCTTGGAATTGAAATGGTTAGATATATAGTTTTGAAAGTTAATAAAAGCTTCTAAAACTCTATCTTTAGTTTGAATCAGGGTGAGCCAAGTATATTTTGATTTTTCATTTATGAATGTAACAAAATACTTATGATTCTCCCTAGACACGCAAGGAGCAGTCCAAACATCAGAGTGCACAAGATCAAAACAATTCTCGTAAATAGTCATTGATTTAGGAAAAACAGACCTCTGATGTTTACCAAGAATACAAGCCTCACAACTTTCATTCTTAAAAGATAGATTAGGTAACATCAAACCTAAGGCACGANAAACATCAGAGTGCACAAGATCAAAACAATTCTCGTAAATAGTCATTGATTTAGGAAAAACAGACCTCTGATGTTTACCAAGAATACAAGCCTCACAACTTTCATTCTTAAAAGATAGATTAGGTAACATCAAACCTAAGGCACGAGAATGAGGATGACCTAATCTAGCATGCCATAACACATCACTAGCTAAAACAGATGTAGAATTAAAAGCACAAGATAAATCTGAAACTTTGGTGTCTTTAAGCAAATACAGCTCCCCCTTGCTCACACCTTTTCCCAGCATCTTACTGGTCTTAATATCCTGAAAGAAAACACCATTAGGACTGAAAATAACATTGCAATTTAGGTCATTAGTTGCTCTCTTAACCGATAATAAGTTTGAAGTAAAAGTGGACATGTAAAGAGCTTGAGAATCTTTATTAAACAATTTCAGATTTCCTATTCCTTCTATGGGTATTTTATCACCGTTTGCAATTTCTACACTGCCTAGAGCTGGGGTTACATTATTAATCAGTCTAGCATCCCTAATCATATGATGAGAAGCTCCTGAATCAATGATCAAAGGTCTAGCAATGTGAGATCCATTGTGAACAGATTTTAAAGTATTAATACTAATGTTACCGGAGTTCGCATTAAGAGCCTTTATAAGGGCCTCAATGTCTTACTTGCGGATGAATGCATCATCAGAAGATGTCTGAGACATAGTGTGAGAGGTGGAGCCACCAGTGTGCTCATGAGCTCTTGCTTCATGTGCTTTGGCCTGGTTGAACTTGGCTGGTTTGAGGTGCGGGTGGAGGATCCAGCAGTTGGTTTTGGAGTGTCCCAACTTCTTACAATGCTCACACGCCACATGCTTGTCTCCTCCTCCCCTTGGTTTGAAATGAGCTTTATTAGCTGCTGCACTTTCCACCTTCTCAGCCTTGTTTGCCATAGACAGCTCTTCTTTTCTCCCAAAGAGACCATCTGAGCCAATCTCCTTTTGAAGTTGTGCACACACATCATCATAGCTTTGGAGATCCTTAGCTCTCAATATGTGTTTAACCACATCACTGAAGTTTGAATTGAGTGTGAGAAGAAGACCAAAGACTTTGTCTTGCTCACGCCTCTCCTCAAGAGTGTTGGGATCATTAGTGTTTGGCCTTAGCATTTCCAATTCCGACCATAGCTGACTATACTTCCCAAGATGTTTGGTGAAGTCACTCTCCTCTTGCTGCAAATTGTTGATGGCTCTCTTAACTACAAAGATTCTGGTCAGATTTGAAGTATTGCCATACACCTTTTTCGAGGTATCCCACAACTGTTTTGGAGTTTCACATTGTGAGTAAGAGTCCATGATAGGACCATCAAGAGAGCTTTGCAAGATAGACAGCACCATGAGATCTTCCTAATCCCATTTGCCTTCATCTACCACTACAATCTCCTTGCCATCTTCTCCTTGGGTGATTTGCCTTGGTGCAAAACTTGAGGTGATATGCTCCCAAAGACCTCTTCCTCCAAGGGCTGTTTTGGCCAATCTAGATCAAGTGATGTAGTTTTCTCCTCCCTTGAGAACAACAGGAATCTTGACTTGTATGAATTGATTCATCTTCAGAGACTATTACCCACTGGTTACACAAAGAAGTCAAGGAAAAACAGTCACTGAAATTTTTACAACTCAAGAACACAGATTTCTTATCAACAAAATAAAGTAGATCTGGAAAGAAAATAGAAGGAGTAGATTGATAAATCAAATAGAAGAGAATATCAGAGTTAAATCGCGGAAGCAAAATAGGTACTCAAGAGCATATAGCTCTGATACCATGTAAGAAAGTGAAGCTTTGAGATTGAAGAACAAGAGAGAGATGAGAGAAAAGAGTAAAGAAGGAGAAACTTTTTCCTTAGATCTGAAAAAATAACGTTACAATGAGTTATAAAGAGAGAGAACATTTTTATTCTAGTAACTAAACACACTTGGCTTATTAGAGAAGTTAGAATAAATAACTACTTTATTTATTTAATTCAATAGATTGTTGATTTGGTAATCAACTAAGCCTCTGAATTCTGTGGATGCGATGGTACGTCCTTTGATACTTCAGACGACTCGATTTCTATAGAGTTTTGACGCAATAAGCTTTTTGTAAACGGAAAAGGTGATTATTTGTATTTAAATAAAGTACCTAGGGTTTCTTGCAGTGGGTTTGGAACTTGGTTGACTATAGGATTTGGGTCATCACAGTAAGTTACTAACTTAATCCAAATCATAAAAGAAAGCAAACCCAATATACCACCCAATAAAAAATCTTCATAGACCATCACAGACTCAGCAGATACTTGTTTTCCCTTCCTCTTCAAATGTTTACCAGAAAGATTTTCTTTTTCCTCGTGTCTAATTGCTTCTACAACTCTCTTAACCTCTTTAACAATATCCTTGACAAAATCGGCTTCAGAGCTAGCAAAAGATAGATTACAAACTGTCAATATACTTAAGATTTTGAGGAAACTGAAAGAAAAATACAAAACAAAAAACGTTTCCCGTGGTTTTGAATAGAGCGTCTCTAAACTAAAAGAGCAAAAATAAGAATGGGAGTGTGACTGTGTGAGTGAATCATACCTCTTGTCTGACAACAACATACCCATGTAACTGCAGATGCTTTCGAGAGCATCTTTCCACTTAGTAATCCGATCTGGATTAGCCTTCGCAAGCTTAGAGAATTTTTTACCAAACTTACCTTTAAGATTACTAACGTCTTCTACCTCCACTTTGTAGAAAACTGGAATAACTACGAGCTTTTTTTTGTCTGCAAGAGTCTTCATTTTTAGTAACTCGTCCATGCACCACTTCGATTCCGCATACCTACATGTCGACGAGGATATTGTAAGATCCAGATATATTTACTATAGCTCTTGTAATGCGACAAACCGAGAAGTTTATCATATAGAATTTATGTCTTAGTTTGCTTTTAGATTTCTAAAAGAAAACTACAATCATGGATATCTCCTATGAATAAAAGAAACAAATTTTATAGCCTTTAAAACCTTTTAAATCATCAACAGTTAACTGGCTAATAAAAACATCATAAACATCATATTATTTATATGAAATAGAAAATAAGATAAATTAATAAAAATATAATAATTTTAAAAAACCTGTTATCTATGATTAATCATTGGAAATTAACATATAATAACTACTACTAAAATATGTCTTAAAGGATGTAAGGCTTTCAAAGGATGAATGCTACATAAATCTAAAAATAATATAAAATGTTCGAAGTTGAGATTATATGATACTGATATTCTTTTAATAACACAAATAAGAAGGTCTAATCAAAATTTTGATTAATATTTTATTAAACATAAAAAATTCTAGAATTTTCATTTTTCATAATAAAATAAAAATATCTAAATAAAGTAAATTAGCAAATGAAATTATAAAATAATTAACACTAATATATATATATATATATATATATATACATATATAATATCTTTTGGAAATTTAGAATAAAAGGCTAAGATAACAAAAAGAGGAAAAGTAATCTTAAATAATCCAAAACTATCAAAGAATCATGCATTTACGATTAAGATGAAATAAAAAGTAACTGAAAAAAGTAATTTTCTAAAATATCAATTTAAAATATATGCTAACTCATTAAGAGCAACCTCGTCAGGGGTATATCAACTCAGTTTCTAAACAAAATAAAATTATTATTTAATCACAATTACTTATTTAATTAAATCAAAAAGATTTAGATCTGAAAATTATTTATAAAATAACTAGGTTAAGATCTGCGTCTTGCGTGGAATAGGAATTGTATATACAAAGTGTATTATTATTTATATTGTGTTCTTTTACATATTATAATATTTATATATATATATTGAATAATTTAAAATTAATATATATTATGTATATAACTAAATTAGCGTGTTCACATAAATAAAAAAGTCACATTTTTTTATTCACAATCACTTTTTAAAAGTATATTTAGAAAATAAATGATACTAACATATATATATATATATAGTATATTTTTAATTTGTTTATCTATTAAATAAAACTTCATACTTGTTTTACGGTCGTTTTTATATTTATAACAAAAAAATTAAACCATTGGTAACAATTTTTGTAAACCATTCATAACATAATATTTAATATGAGACGTTTAATATTTATAGTAACTCATAAACATTTTAAAGAAAATCATTTCAAAGTTTGAATTTAAGTATTAATTAAGTTCTCAATGGTTGTTCAATGGAATTTGTAATTAAAAACTTTATATATTTTTAGATGGTGTATAGTTTAATTTAAACATTATTAGAAAATTATATATATTCTGAATATCTATTAAATGATACTTCCTACTCAATGATTGTATAATCGCTTGTTATAACACAAAAAATTATTAATCACAAAAAAAATCTATGTTGAATGTTAAATTTTTTATTAGTTTATAGTCATTTTTAAAAAATTCAAAATATAACATATACGAAAAAGTCTAATTGTTGTATTATATAGTTACTGTGGTTGTTTAATTTATTTTATAATAGAGGGTACATTAATTTTTATCAAATCTTTATTCAATTAATTTAATTATCATATATATATATATATATGAATCATATTAGGTAATTTCGTAGTTTTTATTTAAGAAAAGAATGAAGAGCATTAATAATAATTTATAATTAATTTAATAAAAAGTATATTATATGTTTATATGAATCAATATTTTTTTAGAAACTTTAAGAAGCATTATAATGATGATATGTTTCATAGCTAGAATGTTGTAATACTTATATTTTAATATATAAGGGATATGTGTAATTGAGGGTAATCTGAAAGTATCTAAACAGTAAATATGAAAATTCTTCGTATAAAATCTGTGTAACTACTTTAATCATAATATCTTTTGATATTTTTATTTTAAATATAAATATATATATTTTTACAAAAGTCTAACAAATTTTCTGAATTTTTTGACAAGATCTTAACTTAAAATTTATGTAAATATTTTTACTATTTTGGAATTAATAATAAAATATTATTCTACATTAATATATATATATATATTAAATTATCCTTATTAAATTAAAAATAAAAAAAATTATCAAATTTTTGCATTTTATAATCGTAATATATCATATTAAAAATTATCATACGAAACTGAATATGATAAAAATTTATTAAATTGAAAAATTTCCAGATTCCTCACTCAACGAAAACAAAATAAAAATACGATCATTAGAATAAAGATATATTTTATTTTCATAAATATAAGTATTTATATGAAAAGAATATAATATGTTAGCAAAATGGTTTAACACAGTAAACTATATTATATGTGTATACAAATTAATATATTTTAAACCTTTATATATACAAGAATGTTGTTGACAAAAAAATATATAAACAAGAATGTTTTATATCTAAAATAAATAAACATTAAAAATGCCAAATATAGTCTTTAATATGTCCTTTCATGCATATATAATATACTGATTTTTAATAATCAAATGGAAATGCAATAACACATATATATAATAAGAAGCGAAAAATACATGTGACAGTTTCAAAGAAGTGATTAATTACGACATGTAAACCATAAAATTATTTTATTTGAAATATTGATACAAAGTTTTAATATATGATTAAGTTAAAATATATACAATAATGATGTAAAATATATGTTTATAAATATATAAATGAAATCAAACATTTGCGCGATTGCGCATATCAAAATCTAGTTACATGTTATATTTGTATTACATAGTAGTTGTAATATAATCAGTGTTTTGAACCTCTACTGGATCCGAGATCAAAATGGTAAACCTAGTGATCCATATGTAATCCAGTTTGGGTTTTAGAAACTACCTTGTTCAACCACTTGTTGATCCATACAGTAGATATCTTCAACTTAACTAGGTTATTAAAATTTGTTTTGTATACTATAAAACAATTATTCTATTATCTTTTTCTACTGTTGACTTTGTTTGTCCATTGATTTTTTTATGTTGTTTGATTTTTTTGTTTACCGTGAATTTTACTTACAAAAAGATTTCTGTAATTTTGATTTTTATTTGTCATTTTTAGATTTGTAAAAAGATTTCAATGTGCCACTGAAGAAAATTAACGATGACGGACAACTAATTATAATTTATTACAACTTAATATTTATTTTTGGTTTATTTTAGATTTAAAATTTAATTTTATTATTCACATTAGATATTAACATACTAATAAATTTTATTTCTTGATATTTTTTAATATGTTATAATTTCCAACTTGTCACCAAAAACTTAAAATAGTCTAAACTATTTTTTTTATGTTTTGTATGTGAAATAAAAATAAAATATAAAGAAAGGTAAACTTAAGTATTTTCTATATATATTTTCAAAAAAAAAAATTTTATATTTTTAATAGCTATTATATTATTATGTAATAAATTAATTAATTTATTAATATGTGGTTCACTCGCAGTCAACCCAATAAACTGGTGATCCGGAAGATTGTCTTGTTTAGAATCAGGGTCAAATTCAAAAACACTGAATATAAACTTTTGAATGTTAACAAAATGATATAGATATTTGAGAACTGATTATTCGATAGACGTGGTGAAGAATTTTTGTATAGACCATTTACATAAATTTTCATAATCATTATAGGTTGATCCATAAAGCAAGTGACACAAAACAATTTAGAAACAAATTAGGTGATTTAATAATATGCAATATTATAATTGTTTTGGTATTTTAGTTTATATATGTTACTGTTATAATAAAGATGATTTATTAGTTATGTATGAGGGACTAAGAAAGATATCCTGGTTTGAGTTTTGAATTTATTGATTTTGTTTGTTTGGAAAAGCTACAAAATCATTATTGCCACTTTTTAGGAAAAAATAGGTTAAGGAAATTGCATTAATAAACAACAAAACTAAAATGTAAATAAATTTATTATTTTAATGACATATGGTTGTAAATATTGGGTAATGCATAAGTGGTATTTCTCATGGATACTTCTGTTTTAATAAAAATAGATGAATGAAAGGAAGAACTCTCCACACACATTTTACCCCAAAAACAAAACTTTCAGCACCCATGCATTATAAAGAAAATATGCTATATAAAGACATTTGCTATAGGGATTTCTCAAGGAGTCTCTCACTAAAATATATTTTTATAAAAAATTATCTTATCTAAAGTATTATACTTAGTGAGAGACTTTTCCTGTAAGATTCTTAATGGAACCTAATGATACAATTTGATAAACTTCTAATATTTAAAGATAAAATATCTAGGTATGATACTAAGGAATAAGTAAATCATACTTATATTTTTTTTCTTGATTCTACTACATCTCTCTTGCTAATACTGGAGTATATTAAATCACTTATGTATATGAGTACATTTTTTTAATAATATCTGTTTTAGCCTATGCCATTAGATATTCAAGAAAACAAAATGAATTCACTTTTTAATTTTATTTTGAAAGTATATATCATCGTGAGTTAAATGAGATGTAACTACCAAGTATCTAATTTTACAAAAAACAAAAAAACTACCAAGTATCTACGTCTAGCATAATGTGTATCTTTTTTTTCCAAAATACAAAAATCATAATACCTAATTATTACGAAGTCTTTCAAAAACGACAAAGAATGATACAAATGTTACAAAGTGCTCTTATGTAAAGCTATCATATATTTCATATGTACTTACGTTTCAATAATTTCAAAAAATTATGCCGAAAGTGAAAAAAAATCTTCATATCTTCGATATATATTTTACGTAAAATGCCATAGAAAAAAACTGGTTTTAAAATAACTAAAAAA